CTCGCTCACTCGCTCACTCGCTCACTCAGTGAGTGTCTCTGGCCAGAGGCAGGTCACGTGATCCAATGCTCACAGGCACATTCTTGTTGTCCCATTTCGCGAGCTTGCTTTGGAAAGGGCTCACATTCTAAAGACAGCCGTGAAAATAACCTCCAGGCGCTTCTTCTCCAAGATAAGTTGTTTTTGCAGGCGATAATAACGACCCAAATGTTTTTGTGTAAGTCACATCTTATTTTTGTTTCGTATAAAGCTGTGACAGAGTGTAATCTGCATTACTAACCTGTCAAATTATAAGCAATCTAAAACAAGAAGTTGTAGCAGCAAAACAAACGCTTAGATGTGCAATGCAAATGGCTTCCTAGATGAAGTCTCTACCAATTTAATATGGTCCGTATTGGAAGTAGATAAGTAAATGGATAAGTTATAGACCCTTTTCATAAATGGCTGCCAATTATAAATTCTTTTGTAAGTATTAAAATTGGCCTGACTAACCTCGTTTTTGAGTTGATAATTCAAAAGAATTTTTACTCTCAAACAAGTTTTGTGAGGCTAATTTAAATGCATACAAAAGAATTTTAAATTGGCAGCCATTTATGAAAAGGGTCAATTGGTAGCTTTTAAAGTTAAACTATAAAGGACAAAGTATATTATAAATGTTCATATTTACTCCTTACGTTCGATGTCGGTCTATTTGCAGGAAAAAACCTCGTACTATTGGCTAATCAGTACTTTTTTTTTCTTACCCGTTAACAAAGATGATGTCATCGGTTCGTCCTACAATCCAGAAGTAACCGTCTTCGTCTTTATAGCCAAGATCACCTGACCATTTATAGGATAGAAGTTTATGACTAGGATTATGTAAAGTTATGGTCAGATCATACAAGTTAACCAATGTATGTCAACTGAATATTGACCCAACATTGCTTATTCCACAGACGTCAACCCTAAAGATGAACGGGAAATGAATTCACCAACCTGTGATGTAGAAGTCTCCTGAAAAACGAGCTGCTGTTTTTTCAGCATCGTCCTGTTGATAGAAAATAGCACTTAGTAGCGACTAAGTCATCAAGAAAAAGTCATATGGTGAAAAGCATAATTTAAAATACTGTTTGGCTCAGTTGTAAGGTTTAACTCACCACATAACGACTAAACAATCCCACCGGACGATAAGGTTTCACACGGACTACAATCTTTCCAATTTTTCCTGGACACAGTTCTTGGTTGTTATCATCAATAACCTGAAATAGAAGTGGAATAGATTACGACGCGTGTGAAATTTATAGGACTAAAGCTGCATACATAATTGAAACTGGATAAATCGACGAATTCAAGCACATTAAAGTAGCGTGCCGTTTTCTTAGAGCGCAAGTAGGCATTGCAAAACGTAGCAAATCCTTTCAACCGATTGTATTGGTTCCAAAAGGCTGTGGAAAATTCCGATTTTGCCTATAATCTACGTGGTGCCAAAACATTTTTAGCGAGTGCAAATACGTCACAGACTGTACTCAAGATGTTCGCATTTTTTTTTCTTTTAAGCACCTCCCGGCAGGCAGGTAAAAAAACCACTGGCGGAGTAATACACAACTGACTGAGTAATTTACATACTGCAAGCGGTGGAATTAATGCTGTGAAGTCTGAGATACCAATAACTGGTGTTAGACTGGGAAAATGTAAAACAATTTCTGACTAATGTTTGAGTAATACTCAATAACTGTGAAATGGAGAAGAAGTAATAAACACAATTGACCTGGATAAATTAATTTTCAGTTGAACAAACGGCATGTCATGGCCGTGTTGTATTTTAAAGATAGTGGAAAGGTTTATAACTGGACTCGGTAAACGATGCCCAACGTTCCATCGACAAACGCGCCTTCTCACGTAGATGCATTCGTTATCTGCGTGTTGCATTCCTCGCAGTTTCCTAGACAGAGACGGGTAAGAAGGACTTGCATGACATTTGAGTCGCAAGACTCAAATTGACTCAATGTAAAGATGAAGTGACTGCACAACTTACTACCACATCCACGCCATGGCATGCTGGACCCACGGAACCAATTCGGTGCTCCCCATTCCTTGGTTTGCAGGTTATCGGACCCTTGAGTGAGGACGTAAAATAATTTAAATTCCAAAGATATTAGGATGCTACATTTGTGAACAACATCTCTTTATAGCATAGTCAGAAACAATATCCCTTTCGGCAAGCTGCGTTGTCCAGTCAAATTTATATTTCTAGTTATGAATGTGATTGTCCAATTAAATTGCTTGGTTAACACTTCTTGTTTACGAAAGCGTGTGTTCGCCATTTTGTTGAATAAATGGAGGATTCAAAGTTGTTTTTTTTCTCATTGTGAAAGAAGTGACAACCCTTCTTGAACAACGTGTTTAAAGTGTGGTGAGAGCGTGGGTCATTAACCGGCTAGTGAGTTAATTACCCGGGTCAACTTCAATGTTGTCCTGCTTCTGTGTCAAGGAGCAGGAAACAATTTTAACATGAAAAACGTGATTATTCTAGGAAAGTTTAAATTTCAAATACAAATTAAACACCGGTTCGTTTTGCTCATCAGCCATACTCTAGCTTCAACTGTAGCCCCCGCATATTCATAACTAACCAGTTCTGTTTGCCCATAAACTTCTCTGAGGTCAATCCCAGTTTTTTCTTTCCATTTGAGCATGACTTCTTTGTTCATTGGTTCACCAGTTGTAATGCAACTACTTAAACTTGGAAAGTGGAAGCTTTTGAGGTCCTCTTTTACTGCACCGATGTAGATACGTGGTAAGAAGAAGACAGACGTAATGGGAAACGTTTGGAGAATTTCTAACGCTTCTCTGGCTTCTATGTCTTTGTAATGGGCAAAGATGCCTGCGCCAGCAGACCATGATGATATGGCCGAGACAAGAAGTACAGCCCAACCAGTTGAACTGTGAAACCAGCATAGATCTGACTGGATAATTCCAATCCCAGGTCTGTAGAAGACAGTCACTGAGTCAGACAAACAAAGGCAACAACTCAAGATGATGATGATGATGATGATGATGATGATGATGATGAAGACGAACAAGAGAAAGGACAAGATGACGAACAAGAGGAAGAACCACATAAAGAACACGAACAAGCTAAGAAGAAAATGATATTTGTTTATTTTTGTCTTTTCCGCCTGTCTTTCTGTCTGTCTGTCTGTCTTCGGTCGGTCTGTCAGCATGTTTGCTACTCGAATAGTCTTGGCTTCAGAAAGTATGACCAGATTTCCGAAGGTCTGAGAACCCTTAAACGGCTTACCGTAGCCGACAAATTAATCATGTTTTAAATTACATCATGATGGTACACAAGTGTCTAAATGGGCAGGCCCCAAACTACCTAAATGAAAAATTCACGCGAAGATTTTACGAAGATCTAAGCCTGCCAAGATTCAGACTGAAAACAGGGCAGAGATTGTTCGCATTTAGGGAAGCTGCACAATGGAACACGCTTGACAAGAACTTAAAGGACATAACGGACAGCAGACTGTAAAGAGAGCTTCAATAATATGTACGTAGAGTCGAACCTCTCTAATACGTCCACTGAGGGGACAGAGCGTAGTGTCCGTATTAGAGAGGTGTCCGCATTGGGGAGATCACTATGATGACGCCATTTTTAAATCTCCACTGACAGTTTAGAGTGTCAAGTAACTAAAATCAGGCCCAAAAGTGACATTTTGACAAGTTCCTGTGTTGGTGTCAATTCGTGTGAATGTTTGTGTAACCGCCGACAGGAAATGATGCATACCGCAAATTATCGATACCTGGTTCCCGGAGTGGCCGCAATAAAGAGGTTAAATTTGTCATGAATTTGCTCCCTAGGGCCGAGATTTAGTGTCCATTGTCCGTTTTAGAGAGGGTCCGTATTATAGGTATTTTTAGAGGAAACGTATGAGAAAGTTGTTCGGTACATAGGAAACTGTCCGTATTAGAGAGGTGTCCGTATGCAGAGGTTCGACTGTCTGTCTGTCTGTCTGTCTGTCTGTCTGTCTGTCTGCCTGTCTGCCTGCCTACCTGCCTGCCAGGCTGTCTGTCTATCTCGTGGGTAGTTGGTTAGTTGTTACATTGGCATCAATTGCATGTGAATTAAGAAAAACAAAGGATAAGACTAATTGTAAAAGAAATAGTTTCTTCAACTAATTAACCGTAAGACATACTTTTCCATGTCTGCACGGTGTCGAAAGCCCCAGCTTCCTTGTGTACTCTCGACCATTTTTGAATTCCCTGTTGTTCCACTGGTGAAGACTATAGTAATAGGTGTAGAACTTAACGACTTGACCGACTAAGGAATAAAGGAAACGATGACTAGAGCATTGTCATGATTTCTTGTGGGGACGTAGTGGTGTTCCAAAGGGAAAATCAATCAATCAATCAATCAATCAATCAATCAATCAATCAATCAATCAATCAATCAATCATTCAATCAATCAATCACACTTATTTAAAGAGGATAGCACATAATACTTTGCAAAACTAATGAGCCTGTGGCAATCTGAATAAAGAACAATTAATTAAACTAAGTTAAAAGGTCAATTCTTGTCACTTCTAATACTAAGTCTAAAAATAATTATCTAAGAAAGGAGTAAAAATCCTATCCCTACAGCCTACAGATTGAGAGGTGCGTAGCCTAAGAGGGAGGTGATTCCAACATTTGGAAGTTCTTCCAGAAAACGTGCGGCCTGGCTCTGTTATATCTAGTAGGTAATATTTCAAGATTTGCACCTCGTGTTTTTCTACTAATAGGCAGAATTTTGTATGTGATTTAATTACTTACGCATCGTGCTTGTTGTCGCTACAAACAGATCCTCAGGCAAGCTAAAACAAAGGTTTTCTTTGGAATAAGCCCTGGCAAGATGAGACACTTTGCCCCGACACAGACTTTACCATGAACGGAGGTCCTAAATCAACCTACACACCATGACTGGGCCCAAACCGCCCAGTTGTGCGACAGGAATGTCACAGGAAATTGTGCTTTTCAAGGTTTATAACATTTAATCTGATGCCATAAGATATCTATGTGAGTGAAATTGTTAAAACTTGCCTGGTTTTCATTAGAAGACTCTCGAAATAGTTCTTCGAAAGACAGCCAACCAACCCTAAATGAACAACAACAACAAAAAGATCGAACTACTAAACAAAACGATGTCGGTTACAAACTCATGGTCTCAAGTAAACTCTTCTAACAGCTGAAGTTTGCGTTCTATATGTATGTCCTAGGCTTCCGGGCTTTTCAACAATCAATCAACCAACAGGTG